CCCCCACGACTTGAGGCTCTACACACAGTAGTTGGAGATCAGCCTCGTCTGAGATCCAGTAGGCCTTGATCAGCGACTTGAGGCTCTATAAAAATGGTGTTCCCGCTGATCTCAGACACAGCTGATCTCAGACCAAGCATCAAGAAAAAACAACCACCGTGCTCAAAAATGGTGGTCCCGCTGATCTCAAACACAGCTGATCTCAGACCAAGCATGAAGAAAAAAACAACCACCGCGCTCAAAAATGGTGTTCCCGCTGATCTCAGACACAGCTGATCTCAGACCAAGCATTAAGAAAAAACAACCACCGTGCTCAAAAATGGTGTTCTTGCTGATCTCACACACAGCTGATCTCAGACCAAGCATGAAGAAAAAACAACCACCGTGCTCAAAAATGGTGTTCTCGCTGATCTCCTACACAGCTGATCTCAGACCAAGCATTAAGAAAAAAACAACCACCGCGCTCAAAAATGGTGTTCTCGCTGATCTCAGACACAGCTGATCTCAGACCAAGCATTAAGGAAAAAACGCCGAGTCAAATCAGGAAGCAAGCAGTGAAAACGCCGCCCTCAAAGATGCAGCATTAAATCATTAGCGGTTAAGTGAAAACGCCGCCCTCAATGATGAATTAACAAAAGCTTGGGCTACAGAACGCTGCCAGAACATCGTCTCCTGCAAAGCAGCTGACTTGGGGCCATCATTGAGGGCGGCGTTTTCACTTAACCCCTAATGACTTAATGTTGTATCTTTGAGGGCGGCGTTTTCACTTCATGCTTCCTGATTTTATTCTCCAACTATGTAAGCCCTCAAGTCGCTGATCAAGGCCTACAGGTGGACCTCAGACGAGGCTGATCTCCAACTATGTAGAACCTCAAGTCGCTGATCAAGGCCTACAAGGGAATTAGGGAAGAGGAACGGCCTGGGGACAGGGACCTGCGGAGAGGGAACTCAGGACAGAAAACTTGGGACAGGGAACTGCTTGGGACAGGGAAGGGGACAGGGAACTGGGGGCAGGGAACTGGGACAGGGAACTGTGGCAGGGAACTGGAGGCAGCAAACTGGGGACAGGGAACTTGGGACAGGGAACTGGGACAGGGAACTGTGGCAGGGAACTGGAGGCAGCAAACTGGGGACAGGGAACTTGGGACAGGGAACTGTGGACAGGGGACTTGGGACAGGGAACTAGGGGCAGGGGACTTGGGACTTGGGACAGGGAACTGGGGGCAGGGATGTGGGGATGGGGGAACTGGGACAGGGAACTGGGGACTGGGGGCATCAAACTGGGGACAGGACTTGGGACAGGGAACTGGGGACAAGGATCTGGGGGCAGGGAACTGGGGGCGGTGCCCTCTTGTGTTTCAAAAAGCCTGAAGCACTACTTTGCGTCGTCGAGAGCGTGCTATGCTGGCGCAGGTGAACCATGGGCCGGAGGTGGCAGAATGCTAGATGAAAGAGTGGGACTCTGAAATGGGCGTGAAAACTGACAACCAAGTCTGTTCCCCCGGGTGTACATGAGACATGGGAGGATGGTAGTCTTTTGTATCTCCAGGTTTCCAAGCCCACCGTGCTTGGAATGGTCTGCGCTTTGGATCCATGGCAAGGAACTCGAACTGAAACATTCAAAAGCATCAAAAGCATCGATGATTGTTTCAATTGCTCAATGAACGCCTTGCACTGTTTTAAATCCCAACATGACACGACATTGGTGATACAAAACTGAACCCAAACACTTCGCAAACATTATTGCTGGATTGCACGAACCACGAACAAACTCTAGATTCAGAACAAACTCTAGATTCAGTTGACCTCTAGTCATCTTCTCCTGAAGCCACAACACAAAGTTTCCAAGAAAACCCTGGAGGACGCTCCGCCGTTGTGTTGTCCGCATGTTGAAGGGTGGAGCTCCGTAAAGAGCTTGGTGCACATGTTTGGCCATGAATTCCCATGCCTACCCTTTCAAAGTGCTGTGATTCAGTGATGTCTTGAAAGACTTACTGCGTTTGACAAGCTTTTTCGTTTGCCTTACCATTGCAGTGGGCGATAAAAAGGACTTTGACAAAACACTGATATGCAGCACAGCTTGCCAAAAATTTCCTGCGTGTGTGCCTTTGAGGCGACTCGCAAAAATTGCAATTTACGTACATAGCCGTCCGTGCTGACGGCTGCACATCTCTCAGAGAATGCGATACATCAATTTTCTCCGGACAACCGAACTCTTTGCAGCTTCATAGTGGTTTCTTTGGCCTGCTGAAGGCCATCTGAGGTCCGGCTTCCGTTTCACCCGCAGGTCCGTTTCCCCTTTTTCACTGTTCTTGTTTTCCTGTGCACTTCCAAGTGGTGAGAGGCCTGACCTCCGCGCTTTGAGGTTGAGGGGCGAAGATGGCACGAAGCAGTGGTTTGCTGGATTGTCCCTCAGGTTTTTTTGCCCCAGGGTGCATATTTTTGCAGGGGTTTCTTTGCTTTGCCTTGGCAGCGTCACTCTAGGTGCAATTGTTGATGCAATCGCCTGTGCGCAAAAATGTCCGAACTGAAGATCGCCCAAGATGCGGCGTTCAGGCTTTGCGTTTCACTATTTGCAGGGGAGGCTGCTGTCCTTTGTCAGCAGATGGCTGATGCCTTGCATTTGGGCAACGCCCAATGAAGATAGCCTGTCCAAACCCAGACGTATATAAAGTGCAACGGATCAGGATCTCACATTTGTTCCATATTTGGGGGGTGGTTTTGTTTGGTGGTTGGGCCCCACCTCTCGGTTTGGGGGTTGGTGTTTTGGTGATGGGAAATTCTTTGTCAGTTTTGCGTTGGAGTGACATTGTTGATGCAACACAAAGGCTGTCCCATCTTGAAAGCATATCCCATTTTTTTTCTGACAGTTTTGGCACTTGCCATGAATACGGGGCCACTTCGGCGGTATGACGTATGACCTTTGGGCGGGGACTTCATTGCCTCTTGGTAGCCTTGATTTTCAGGACTTGGTGATGCATGCGTTGAAAGAGGGTAGACATGGGTTTTTGCCGCGCACGCCAGTGTTTGTGATCACCACTGTGAACTTGACTCCATGTGACTACAGTACATCTATTGGACGTGTAGTGCAAGCTGAATCCACGAAACATATCAACAAATGCGTTGTTGTGTCGCCATCGGGACTGGGAACTCTTGCCACAGTTTGGTTGCTTTTGCTCTGTGAATTGACACCTTGCTGTGTGCCCCCCAAGAAGGTGGAGCTTTGGAAATGATCAGCAATGCGAGTTTTGAAGGACAAAATTCACCGCCTGCGTTGTTTTTTCACACAAAATTAGTTGCTTAATTTGCTGCAACAAGTCTTGGGTCCAGGTTTCGTGGTGTTGTGGGTCCGTTTGCAAGATTTATGGCCCATGGCCCATGGACAGTTCTTGGAGCTTGGTTTCCGTGGCAGTTTTTGGAGCTGTGCCCATGCTTCGCGTTCGAAGTCGGTCGAAGATTCTTCCGAACGGAGGTGTCAGACTGCCCATGGCGTGTTTTTTGTTGTAGGCTCAAGTCATTGGAAACTCTCAATGCCGGCCTTTGTGTACATCGATCAACGCAGCTGAAGCACAGGTGCCCGAACAAAAAATTGGATTTTTGATGCACACACTTGGCCGGAAACATTTGTAGCACTTTGCAGTGTCAAATAAGGGTATACTACGGTATACCCATGTGCTCATCAGATCTCATCAGTCGAAAATGCATTTTTTAAATTCTGTTGTGGGAACACCTGCCCATTCCCGCCTGACACGGGAGGCAGACCTGTGGTTGCTGGGTTGAAACGGGCTCATGACAGTCATGGCCGTGGCCTCTTGCTTCGCTCTGCAAACGGCATTGGTGTATAATTCAAAAGATGTCGAAGCTTTCAAAAGATTAGAATCAGTGATTTGTTGGGTCCGATCCAGGTTGGTTGGGTCAGATGCCGCATGTTTTTTTTGGACGTTTTCGATATTTTGATGCGTTTCTTGTTCTGAGGCCTTGCTCAGAATTTGCCAAGTCGCAGGCGGCCAGGGGAATACTTCGCAGAGGCAGACTTCGTTCATGCTTTGCACAGGCCTTGCCAGACTTTGTGCAGCAAGTTCGTGCCAGGTGCGCTCTGATTTTTGGTGTTTTTTCCATCACCAAATCATGGAGAAATTTCCGGACATCCGTGGTGTATGCATAACGATTCAAGATTTGGCATCCATCGTTCACCACGGATGTTTTGTAACATGTTTTTGAGGTCCAAAGATCGGAACTGGATGTCCGGGTGGAGAACATGTGGATGATCAGTCACAGTCAATTTTTAGATGTTTTCAATTGTTGCAAGTCTTTGCAAGTCTTTGAAGGCCGACTCAAGATGTTCAGAGTCAGAGGAGCTTCTTGCAGTGGAGGAGCGAGATTGCAGAGAGAGAGAGAGAGAGAGAGACAGAGAGTGAGTTAGAGCAGGCGAGTTTTGTGTTCATCCATCACTCGCAGGATGAGGCGATAGCTACTTCAACCCTTCTTTTGCAAGCCTGATCCTTGGCCTTTGCATGAACCACACCACATCCTTCGGACTGCTCGGGGTGTTTCGCGATTTTCAGCAAGGCCAATCTTCATCAGTCACGGGTGTCAACGGCCATGAGCCTCCTAGAGGCGACGCGGACGAGTGGACCCGTCGGGCGGTTTGTGGGAGTTACACTTCACTCCATCCAACCTCTTCAGAGAGAAAGAGAGGCCCCCCAGGTCGCACCAGTCGTCACATGTCGGAGGACTGAAGGTCTTGACGACTGGTGCGCAGGGATCAGGCATATCAGTCGTGCAGAAGATCAGAATATGGGTACCGAGTGGCGGTCGGACGGCACCTTCAGGGTTGGCGACTGGTCTTTGCCGTGGGTAAACTGGCGGCCCTGGGTCAACTGGACTCTGCCAGGCTCGGCTTCCGCCTGGCATGCACAGCCGTGAACCCAGAGTGCCCTTCTACCCACGTGCACGGTGGTGTCGACGGACTTGGAATCCAGAGAAGTCAGCCCGTAGGATGAAGTCACAGGTCTGATAGGTCTGGTCTTTTTGAGAAAGTGTGCCTCAAACAGTCGCTCCGACTCGTAACCCTGATGTTTATTATTGTTATTAGTTATATATTTTTTGTCTTTAATGTCTCAGATGTTTGTGAACCAGGTTTGCTGAGTCGTCTGAAAGAAGCAGAAGAGGGCTCACAGCCTGTTTCTCAGTTTGAACTTCATAGCACTCCAGTTCCTGACACAACAACCTATATATATATATAGATACACACACTTAGAAGATGAGGACCTCTGCAAGGTTGGAGAGGATTCTTGAACCCCAGGAACTGAGTGAACAAAAAGGGAGCAGAACCCCAGTGGAACTGCAGTGGAAGGCAGAACTGTGGCGAGTGACGAGACACTTCCTCCGTCTCTCTGCAGTAGAAACTACACCAAGCAGAAACTGCCACGATGTTTCAGCTGTTGGACCGTGAAACTGGGGCCACTGTTCAGTCTTCGGAATCAGAACAGCATTCTCATCAACTCGTCCTCTGGAATTCTTGGTCTTCCAGGAGCTTCTGAAAGAAGTGCCAGTACCCGAGACGAGTTCTGAGGTCTGACAGTGTGGTTGCCAACCTGACAGAGATCCCTGAGGCATGGCGTCGCATGGGTTTTCAGCGACCCATTCGACCGACAAACACACGAAGCTGTGAGGCAAGTTTGATGACGTTTGGATGTTTTACACCTCGAACGTGGCAGTCTCCATTTTTTCAACGACTCAAAAAAACGAACGACGAACGACGAGCAGTCTCTTCGTACTGCGCAGTCTTTTTTGGTTTCAGGAGGCCAATGATCTGTGGCCCAAAGCTGAGCAGAAATCGTGGCGTTTTCACTAGGCGCTGCTTGCCAGCCAGATATCCAATTTGTTGTCAGATGCAGGGCCTGCAACACCTCCAAGGCTTCAAAGTAGACAGACAGAATAATGTTGGCGCCTGATTAGTAAATAGGGCCCCCCCCGCCCCCCCCTCAAACAAACAGGGGGTCCTCTATAATAAACTATCACCAAAACAAATCTGGATTCCTGGTGAGGGATCTTTTGTAATTGAACATCTTGTTGGTGGTCTGTTTGTATGTGTTTTGCTTTGCTGCTGGCTGCTTGCCTGGGAAGGGAGGGGGGAGTGCAGGTGGACAGGGTTCAGAAGGAATTCAAACCCTTATTAATTGGGTTTCCAATATAAAAATTTAGGGCCCAAAAAAAAATTAGCATTATAGAGGTACCATTTTTTCAAACAGGGGGGTCTGAATAAATTTGGAAAAATTAGCATTATAGAGGACCTATTTACTAATCAGGATCCAACATTAAGATATATAGAGTGAGAATTGCAGAGCTTTTGTAGAGTTCTTGATCATATCATATCGTAAAGTTTGTTGCTTTTGGCATCACAGGGAGTCCATGAACTCAGGCCTGTCCTGCAGATGGTAAACACTGGAAAGGACGTTTTTGCTTCGACTGACTGCTGGGCCAACGAGAGCTGCGAAGCAAGAGCCCTTGTGCATTAGTGTCCATTTTGGGGTCGTTGGTCTGTTCCCGCATGTGCTCTGCGCAAAATTGTCCTTTCTCCCGAACGAACTAGGGGAACCAACTGTGAGAAGTCCCTTGCAGAACAAGACGTGGCTTTGGACTCTATCAAGATTCAACTGCGTTCCATCTTCGAATCCACTTCGATGGATTCGCCGGAAAGAACCGATCTGCCTAGCCGACGACACGAAAAGCCGACCCGGGGGCTCGCAGGACGAGTCGGATCCAGTGTGGGCGAGTGTGCATGAGCTGATTGGCAGGTATGCCATTCTGGCGTGTCCTTGGCGACCCCGACAACTCAGGGGGGTTGAACAGTGGTCGAACTGAGGTGAAGCGGGGCAGTGACAGTGGATCCCGGAAGTGTCCCCTTGCCGTTCTCAGTGAAACGGCATGCAGTGGTGGCACCCGATTGAAAGGCATTCTGGAAGGGTGCAGTCTCCAACAACATGTCACGAAAGGTAGCTTGAGCTACCTGAGTTCTCCTTGCTTTAGCAAAAATGTATTACAATCAGGAGTTGGGATTGTGCATTGAATTTGGTCCTGTAAGAGTTGATTCTGTTCGTCGGGGGGGGGGGGCCCCCCCCCCCCCTGGATCAAATCCCCCCTGCGCCGGTTCACGCCGTCGTGGACTTCTACCAGGGTTACTCGTGATTGCCTGCTACCTTTCGTTCACCCCCTCCTCTCTCAAGTGTTGGACTCCAAGAACGGCCTTTAACTTGGTCTGGCCCACATCTAGTTCTGGGGTGGTGTTTTTTCAACGCGCCGGCAGGAAGACGGACTAGACAGGGCATTGGTTGCAGTTGGAAGATTGGGCAGACTCGACCAGTTGGTGTTTGAAATTCTGGGTGAAATTGATTCATGCCAGCATGAGACGGTGCTTCAGGCGGCTTTCCAGTGTCGAAAGCATCAACTGGTTGTGTGGTTTGCCAGTTGAAGAATACCAACGCTGAGAACGAGCAGCTCTACCAGCCTCTTGCCCGGTTTTTGGCTTGCTTTCATTCCGCGCATGTCCAAACCCCGGCGCCTCCGGGCACCGGTGCGGTGCTCCGTTGCGGGTGTTTCGCATCCGAGGATTTGCCAGAGTGGGGACATGGAGCAGTACACCAAGAAAGCGTGGCGGGGCCCAGACCGGCGTTTTTTCGAGGGGACATGGAGCTGCTTCCGGTCGTAGGCCTTTTGGGGCGAAGGTTGGACTCGCACATGACATTGGGTCGTTCTTATGATGGGCCGAAACCAGGCTCTTGACCACGGATGGTCCGCTAGGTCCGCCGGTGTTTCAAACGAACGTTCTCTGAGGTGTGCGAAGGCTGATCGCCAAAAGCTGCTGAATGGTGTTCCAACTGACCGACGCTTGGATGCACCGAGCTGCTGCCGAAGAGTGGAGTGCGCGTTCCGAACGCCGTGTTCCGAACGCGGTGTTCCGTTCCGGCGAGTCTGCAAGGTCGTAGATGACCCCCAGCGTTGCGAAAGGGGCAGTTTGATGCAGTTGGTCCAACAGACCCTCCGTGGTTTGGACTTTGTTGCTCTGCTTTGGGTGGGAATCCTCTTGAAGGAAATGCTTGGAGTCCAACCGGTGGAAAAGGACACACTCACCGGTGGGTGGGCCCAGCGGGTTGTCCGGACCGGCATTTCGGCCCGTTCGGACCCATCTGAGGCTACTATTGTGGCACCCACAACTCTGGGTCTGCAGCTCAGGTCTTGCGTCTCCACCGTGTCCACCATTTTTGGTGTTGGGCCACCGTATTTTTCTCCTGAGAGAAGGTCTATATTCGCTTTGGGTCGTCCTCTAGATCCAAAGATCCAACTCCTGGACCTCTAGGCCTTTGGTGCTTCAGATTGGCGGGTAGAAGAGCGCGGCCCGTGCCCACGGCCGCTCCAACAAGCCTTGTGCGCCTGGCTGAGGATCAATTGGGGCACCATGAAGGTGGAGAACCTCTGCAAAGCCGAAGTTGGCCACTGAACTCAGTGGGCCGACAGCATTCCGTGCTCGTCAAGGGCGCCGTTGCCTACTCCAGATGTCCCGAGAGCGACGACCTCCCGACCCCACTCGGTTCTGCGGAAACCGCAAGCGCGACGCGCTTGCGGGTGCTGGATCCGCCTCAGGATCCGCCTATACGCTGAAAGGGCTTTGCGGTAGCTAGAGCCCAAGGACTGAGATCCTTTGATTGTCAGAGTCCATGCCGTCAGTCCTCCATGTGTTTTGCCAGGGTTAGCAGTATAGAGTTCATCGTTTGTTGCCCCCCACGTCGGGAATGGAGCCATGAACACAGCATTTGGCATCTATAGAATGTGGATCTCTGTGGTTTGGGCCACCAACTCCACTGACATTGAATCATGACCTCCACGGCTTGGCCCCAAAGGGACTGCCGCGTCTACCGAGGCCTCAGCAAGAAGCAGCTTGTGTTGAACTTCTTGTCCGGGGCCGCACCCTCAGCGGTGCCGGAGAGGACGACGACCACGACGACGACGACGACGAAAACGGTGTCCGAAGGTCCTCGGCCAAGCCTCACCGACGGCTGAGGTGCACAAGTGGAAGGAGGATCCCAGATATATGAACATTCCGTGGCTCGGACTGAGTGTCAAATGACCATTCTTGAGCTGAAACATGTTTCAGAGTTTCGGGTGGAGTCTCTGAAAGAGGGCTGACGGTTTATGGGGTATGCTCAAGTGTGGTATAGGTCTTTCCTGTGGCTTGTATTGGTTTGTCATGGAGGTCCTTTCAATGTGTATCGTTGACCTGATTTCGCTTCAAGGTCGGTGGCCTGCATTATGGGCCTGGCAGACTGCGACATTCACTTTTGTGGGAGCCTCAGTTCCTAAGAAGTCCCCGCCGCACTCGACATTTGGACAAAATGTCACAGAACGAGGTCTGGTTTCAAGCTCTCCCCGCGAATAGAGCCAGTGGGTTTTCGGTTGTAGAGCCAGTGGGTTTGATAGGTCTCTTTTGGACAATCCTCGGACTCATCCTGTGAGGCCAGCACTGCTCCTGGGTGGGCTGTGCCAACAATGAGACCGCTCGCTGAGGGGGCGGACTGACCGAGGTTTCACTTCAGCTGAGACGATCAGCTGACACATGAAAACACAAAGGAAAACCATTGAACCGGCGTCTGCACATCATCCAAGCTTGCCGGAAATCTGCATGATGGCTCCTTTTGCAGATGGGACTGAACCGTCACGATCTGGATTTCGGCTGACCCACCTTCCCCGGGTGGTGTGGCAAAAGACGAACGAATCAGATCGGGGAGCCATGGCGACCCAAGCGGACAATGGAAAAGAGTGACGTTCTTGAAATATTTGTATGGGAATCTGCCAACACTTAGAGCCCCAGCACCATACAGCTTGACCTGCCGGTCGCCTGGTCAACCAATGTATCCCGGTTTTGACTCCTCCTCTACTAGCATCACCCACCGAAGGTGCAATAATAAAACACGGTGCTTTTTTGGCGCAGCTTGCTGTACGAAAAGTGGTATCCCTTTGACCCCACAAAACGCTGGTGGCTGTGGCTGTGGCATCAAGTGTATCGACGGTGGATCGGCTGATCGGCACAAATGGATGATGCGAATTTACACACCCTGACCCAGTCGGTCCAGTTTTGTGGATTTCTTCTTCTTTGCATCCCAAACCTACCAAGGGCAAATTGCTGACACTCCTTTACGAACAAGTCTCACTCGTGTTCCCTTGTTTCTCTTCCAAGGTCGTGGGGGTCCACAAGGGTCTGCGGAGCCGGTCGCCATGGGGTTTGACCTCTGCGGTTTGGCTCCAAGTCACGCCATGCGCCTCCGGCCGCTCACGGCGCTCGCCCGAAAGGCCCCACCATGGGGCGTGGCTGGACGGGCGCCGACGGACTGGCGCCCGCGCGCTTTGCGCGTCCGGTGCGCCAGTGCGGCCAAGCAGCAAGGAGCAGTGGACCGGAGTTTGGGAGACATGTTGTTTGGCAAGAAACGGGGGATTTCGTAGCTTTGAGCGATGACAGTTCCAAGAAATTCATAGAAATTCAAGTGCTCCTTCGAAACTCAATGGCACTGTTTAGGTCAGATGGCCATGCAGGACCTTTGTTGGTGAGTCCTAGTGGCGCACCACTGACAAGCTCCACTTCTGCTGACGGCGGCCCGGACTTGGAGCTTTCACCCGAGAATGCGGCGCAGGCGCGTGGTGCTGAGGCAAAGGCTCCCGTGACCCAAGGCAACCCTGGTATATATTGTGGTTGCATCGTTCCTTGGTGTTGAACTTGAGTGGCTGATGTTCTGGAGACAGATCTCAGACCTTTGCTTCCATCATCTTCCATCCATTCCCCTCTCTACCGGCCTCTCTACCGGAGTGCAGGTCCTGCAAAGTGGAAATCCTTTCCTGCTGCTGGTGGGGGAGCTGGACAAGCAAGTGACCAAAAAGGTCGCCGGCTTGAGGAAGGCTGCGCAAGGTGCGGCTATGACACGTGATGACTGGTTTTCGGTGTCGCTTTGCATCGCGAGGGTGAGGTTGTCCAGAGGTGCAAGGGAGTTGATGGTACAAGTCTTGATCCTCCTGATTCTGATTTGTGCTGAGTGCCAGGACGGATTTCCATTGTTGTTTTTGTTTCTTGACCGTTGTGTTGTCGAGTTTGTCCTGTCGAAGGCTCTTTTTGTTCCATCACGGTCGGTTGCAAATCCACCAAGTTGCGACAAGCGTCCAAGCGGAAGGAAGACTAATTATATAGAAAGAAGATAAACCCTCAGACCATTCCGTTTTGAAGAAACGTCGGACGTCGCTGCACGCACTTTGAATCCTTCTCGGAGGTGGGTGAATCCTGAGCTGCGCAACTTGAGTGACCCTCATGTGTTGCTTCCTTTTGTCTGGATTTTTGGATCGTGTGCGCAACACATGACAGATGTCGACGACGTTGCTTGGTGTCGATGCGTCTTGACTGCCTCATTAGGACGCTTGCCACTGGTGAGACTCAATTGCAGCGCCTTGCCCCAAGTCTGTGAAGCTCTACAGATCGTCTCCTCGCCCACTTTGCTGCTTATGGCCAAGGGCCAGGCGACCTGGCGCAAGATTGCCTGACAGTTTGGGAGGTTTTCCACATTCCACATGGATTGGTGGGTGGGAACAGCTGCGGCGATGCTTTCCAGATTGTTGCTAACTAGCAGTGATTTGGTGGCAGGTTTGGGAGCTGGTTGTAGGACACCCCGGCGCGCTGGCCCAAACATGCTGGTGAACCACTCAAACTTTCCTGCAACCTGTTGCCTATGATGTGCCTTGCTCGCTGGACTGGCGACTCTGGAAGTTTCGGATTTTGTGGGACAGAACATTCTGCAGGGAGAGATGTGACATAATAGCGATGGCCTCTGTAAATTCGGTAGGGAGTCTCAAGTCCAACACAACAACTGGTCACCTTTCTCACACAACCAAATCCGAGCACAAACGTTGGTTTTCCGACAATGCTATGGCGGCAAGGTCGATGGAACGTCAGGCTATACAATCTAAGATCAGGGCACGTCTCGGGCCCAAACACCATGGATACGCTTTCGGTCAACATACACATTCAAATTCACACCGGTCCAAAAGTTTTCTTGACCGAAATGTGACTCATCTAAATTGCACACAAGGTTCATCCAATCGGGATCACCGTACTTCGCTTCCACTTGTTTCAACTGTTTTCGCTTTTTGCCAGAAACAAAAGTCGGATCGAACATGATCCTCCAAGTGGTTTGATTCAAAGCTTGAATCAGTTGCTCACCTTTCCAAGGTTTTGTAAGGCCATCAGCAAGTTCCTGATCCCCAGACACCCACCGACATTTCACATTGGTCTGGTTCAGCCTCTCCTTGATTCCCAAAACCTCGATAGAGGACCTTCTCTCCTCCATTTGTAAGCCACATGTTTGTACACGCTCCAAAGCATCATACACATTCTTTGCATCACTGAGTATGCATGATTCTTCTTTTGCCAAAATTGGGTCAGCGTTTCTCAAATCAATCTTTCCGGAATTCATCATCATGTACATGAACAATTTGACAAACTCATGCTCGTCTAAACCGTTTCCGGTCATTTGAACTTCGGCACTGGTTGAAGATCTTGCAATACGTCTGAGTCGCCGGCTCGTCCAAGTCAACACTGAAAAGTGGCAAAGTTTTCCGGACAAAACTTCCTTATTCATCAGGATGGTAATGGATCCACCCTGTGAACTGCCGTCACGACGGGTCGCCCAAGACGCGTCACAAAATGTCAACACCATACAGTCTTGCACTTGATGTGGAAAGCTCAATTTAACATGACTGTGTCTTCTCTGCCAACGAATTGCCTTGTTTGTTTCAAGCAAATCATTCACTGTAGCACTTTCTACGCAACCTTGAAGGTGGGACACCGTTGAAAGAAGCCAAGGACATGTCTGCACTGCTCTCCAGTTCAAAGCACCTAGCGCCCTTCGCATTTCAGACTTCTCTGCAAGTGTCACCGTATCATGTTTCTGTAATTTTCGTTCTCGAGTCAAATTGATCTCATCAATTGCCAAGGAAAAACTCTCTTGGTTCACCAGAATATCATATTCCGCAGTCTGAAAAATGTCACAGCCACAGAACTTAATATTCTTGTCTTGAGCACAATCCCAACTTCCAAAAGGAAATGACTGTCGGAGTTTCTGCACCTGTTGGTCGAAATATGGTCCAGCACCTGCCACAATCAGGTCGTCAACATGAGCACCTAAGTATCCGCAGATCTCCTGGGTGTCAGGATTGGTCATCAGAAACACGCACTGGTCAAGCTGATGTGATTGCCATCCTTGACTCCATAATACGGATTGTAATTTTTCAAACCACTTACGAGGAGCATGGCACAAACCGTACACGGCTTTGGCAACACGCCAGAGTTCATGAGGTTTCATGTTCAAATATTGTTTGACTTCCTCAGGTGGTTCCGCCCAAATCTGTCTCTCCAGTTCAGTTTGGTCTCCGTTTAAATAAGCTGTTTTGATGTCGCCAATGTACAGCTTGAATTGCCTTTGAGCAGCCAATGCAAAAATCGCATTTCGTCCCAAGGTACTCAAAGTCGCAGCTTCACGTGGGACGGTCAACAATTCAGGGTCCATATACCCCTTCAAAATCAACCTAGCTTTAGCTTTTCTTCCAGTTTGGACTCCATCTTCATTCACAACAGGCTTCCAAACCAAAACCCATCTCATACCTAGAATGCGTTCATGTGGAATGCCAGCACGTGTGCAAATCTCAACAGCACTGTTGTTTGTGAAAGAGTCAATTTCGTTTCCCATAGCCGTTTCAAACTCTTTCCTGTCTTCTGCTGACAACTTTCGAAGACAAACCTCAGCATTCCTTTTTGCCTTTTGATTCAGGACCCAAATGCCTTTCTGAAAATGAACGTCTCTAGCCGCTACTGTCAAATGAATCTCAACCACTTCAGTTGATTGACAAGCTTGCAAAAACAGCACATCCATTCTTTTCTCGTGATCCTCAGGTATGGTCTGAAGGACCGGCCTTGAAGCACTTGCCGCTTCTTCCGGTCTTATAGTGGGAGAATCTCTATACGGAGTTCTACTCCTATGCCTTCTTTGAGGATTCTCTACCCGATGTTCAGTTTCTCTGCGATCTGGGTGATCAACATTTCGATGTGACTCATGCGCATCTGCATCATGGCTGAGTCTTCCTGCAGTTTCTGAACTTCTGGGGTTGTTTCCTCTGTTGTCACCTTCGTCCAGGCATCGAAGTCGCCCTGCTCGATCTTCTCGTCGAAGAGCGCATCCATCTCGCCACGCTTCTTGCTCCACTCTGTCATCATGTGGTGACTCTCTTTTTGTCCCCCGTAACCCTCCTTGTTTTCCATCTGATCCACCAGCTTCTGTGTTCGACGTGTCAGGTAGATCACAAACATCTGCATGGTCGGGTTGCTCTTTGAGGGATCCACGTGAGCCGCCACCCATTCCGCGTAACCCGGTTCCAGAGCTGCTTCTTCGAAGGTCAGACCCTTGTGCTTCCCGAAGTCGATCTTCCATGTCTTCAGGTCTGCCATTGGCATGGTCTGAGCTCGTTCCACCATTTCTTTGGTGGTGATCTTGTTGCCCATCTTCTTCAACTTCTCGAGGTTCTCCTTGAGAGTCGGCTCTGGCTTGCTTCCAGTTCCGCTCATGGCTGGTGGTCAAATCAGGTGGTTCCCAATCTGGAGGCTGTTCAACCGTCAAAGATCTCTTGCTTGAGCATCGGAATCGGGGCACACATTCCTCAGGTGACTGTGTTGGCATCTCACAATCTTCAATTGCCAAATCATGAAATTTTTGTTGCTTTCTCAAAGTTTGATACATTGTCTCGAAATCAGCTGGTCCGTTTATTTCTAAATCAATCTTCTGCACATCTTGTGTCACGGGTCTCAGTTGTTCGGGTGAACATCGAAGAAGAAAACCAGCATGACTTACCCAAACGATCGATCCGGGATGATTCGTCAAAACTTGCTCTGAACTCTTCTCATGACACAGCACACGACCAGGACCATGCCATCGACCTCCTACTCTAGTACCTTCTTTTCTATCTCTTCTATAGTAATAAACAAGTTGTCCTAGAGTATATTCTCTCAGGGGTCGACTTTGCGCTCGCAGTGCCCGTTGAAGACGGCGTTGCGAATCTGCCTCAATGAACAGTTTCCTGGCTGCGGCTTCTCTTTTCAGGCTGGTGTCTTCCCTCTGGCTTTCCCAGGGTAGATGTCCGTCAAATTTCAAGAAGGAACTGATTCGTCCGTGGTTAGCTCCAAACTGCCATTGATTAGGCGTGTAGCCCCTCACATTATGCACTTCATTCTTAGCCATGACAGCGAGGTTCAGCAGTTCACGGGCGTCAGTGTTCGGTCCAAGTTCATAAGCCAACAAATTGGCATTCTCCTTCAAAATCTGGAGGTGTCTTGAATGTTTGCCCATCTGCCAAGCGCTCTCTCCACTGATGGGTTCCATTTTCATCCCAAGACTTTCTAACCAACTCACTAAATCCACACCCCTCATATAACCCTCTTCATCATACCTCAATTTCTGGGGGATGGGAAACCGGCGAATCCACCCGTCCGAGAAGCCCTCTTTGAACTCTTTTCCTGAAATCGAGTGTTGTGGTTTCTCTCCGTTTCTCACAACACGAATATTGTGGTAGTCGGTCGCTTCATCAAACAAGGAAATACCCACAACATGTTGTCCCTTCTGTCCGTCCGCAAGCAACTCCTTTGGAACATGCCACCAAAAAGTGTCAACACTCACACATTCCCATTTGTTTCTAATGGGAGGAGGCGTGGCCGGATGACAAGGAGCTCCGCGTCCTCTCTGCAAACAGTGGTCACAGCGAAAATTTTCAACCTGCTTCAAGACAGCTGGAGGCACACCTGCATCTTTGAACATGCGTTTCATGACTTGAGTGTTAGGGTGTCCAAGGTTTCGATGAATAAGTCTTATTTGGTTCATCGTTCGTGTGTCAACATCTTGGTTTTGCTCGTCTAGTACAAGATCTTGCAATATCTTGAACTGAGTGGTCCCAGTCCATTGTCCGTGTGTGTTGTCATGTTCCACAGGATGTTCTCCAGGCTCTCTCCAATTGTCGTCGTGATCAATCCTATGTCCATCTGAGAATTCAGCCACTGTTCGGCGCCAAGATGAAATCTTCTCCAACTCAACAGGAGTATCTACCTCATGTGGTTTGAACACCTGCGAACGAGGCATGACGTGATGTCGGATCAAGTATCCACGGTCCTGGCTCCAATAGTCTTGACTGTCATTTGCCAAAACATTGGATGATTTCTCAAATGACACATGCAAACAGCGAGCTTGAACTGGTTTCAAAATGGCCTTCGCAAAACGTGTGCACAGTTGTCTAGGATAGACAGCTGTCTGTGCTGTCAGTGCGCCTTCCACTGGAATGTGCATCTCATGATCATGTGAACACTTACTTTCCAAAGCGTCTCTCACACCCACTAGAGTACTAAACCAGCCCCATGGTTTTCTAATGAGTTTACGTGATTGGGGGTCAATCATTCCATGACAACATCCATGAACCGTGAACCTCCCCCCACACATCCTAGCCATGTGACCCATGTTCGTGGCTCTCCAACTCTGTGCTCTGAGCGGGTGTTCACCTCCACCATGGAAGGTGTCACTGTGCCCACCTTGGCCGTCCAATTCCTTAAGTTGAATTTCCAGCAAACGTGCGCACCTGGTGATCAGTCGCTTGCTGCTGCATCTCATGTGTTCAAACTCTTGTCTTTGTTGTTCGTTTCGTTTTGTGCAATTCTGGAATGAACTCCACAGGAAACATGGTGGTGATACATGTAGGTACCTTGGCCTCAACTCACGAATAGTTGAAATAGCCTTCCTGTAGCCTTCCTGTGTGGTGAGATCATAACCATTGTGTATCCCGAGTGCAAGTGCAGTACCTCCCAACTCCCTGACAGCCTGGCACAAAGGACTATCCCAAGGAGCACACACTTCTATCAAATCAATTCGATGACCTCCCACCAAGCCTTCAAATGTCCTGTCACCTTCATGAACGTTGTTTTCAACATGTTTCAACATCTTGTTGTGCTGTTTCGTGTGGAGTATGCTTTCCGGGTAATCCTGATCACAACTCGTTTCAACCAAACATTCTTGATGAGTCACAGCGTTTCCATCTTCCTTAAAATCAATTCCACTCAAGGCTATCAAGCTCAGATCAGCTTGTCCATTGCAGCCTTGGTGGAGCTGTTCCTACTCGTCCACCGTGCCCTGATCTCCAGTGTCGGCCTCATCGAAGGCCTTCTCTACATCTACACTGGCCGTCTTGTGCGGCAAGTCGGCATCTTTCCGGCTCAAGGTGTGGACTGCCTGGTCGATGTCTTCTTCTTTCACAAACAGCTCTTGCAGCGCGTCATAATGACCAGCGAAAGCCGTCAAGGGAAGCATCAGATGGTTGCTCTCTGTGCGCTCCAACTGTACTTGTCGATCACTCAGCTTCAGAAACACGGCTTTGCCTGTCCGGAAGTTGATGGTTGCATCCATGTCATAGAGGAACTTGGATGACAGCAGAAATGGCGTCTTTCCTTCAACCAGATGTGATTGGATCGTCACCTCTTTGCCACAAATACCTGCATTCACATGTGACAAGCCCAACCCAGCTGATGACTCTCCATTTCCAAAAACAAATCGTTTGTGGATCTGTCTGTCAACAACAATCTCTGTCTGTGGATCGAATTCCAGTTCTTCCAAACATTCCGCCAACTCTTGTAGTGTCTCTGCACCCACAATGTTGTCTGAAGCTCCTGAATCCACGATGGCCTTCCCTCGAAATGCGGCTGGCTGTAGTGCCAAGACCTGTCCGGTTGCCGCCTCCTGAGAACACAACACCCACGACGGGTCATTGGTGACCTCTTCCGGTGTTGGGGTCATGTTCCCATTGACGGTCTCACTGATTGGCACGTTGGTCATGATCCGAACCTCCGGATGTGCCTCAGTGGATGATGATGAATTGTCATCATTGCACCAACCCACATATCCAATGCTGTTGCTCCCACTGCTTGCTGGTTTTTGTGGACAACGCTTTGCTGTATGCCCCTTTTTCCCACAGCGAAAACAGATTCGCTTCCCAATCGCTCAGCATCTGATGTTGGTGCTTTGCTTCTTGTGAATGAACGCATCGACTGACTTGCCTTTCCCCTGAACTGTCCTTGTCCAGGAGGTTTCACTGGATAGAAGCCACGTGCTGTTCTAGCTTGATCCAAGGCTCGTCGAGCTTCCTTGAAATTGGCCAAAACTTCTGCACTATCCTCTGTATCTGCGAGCAGCTCTGCGGTGGCGTCTTCACACCATTCTTCCAGTTCAAAGATCTCCTCGGTCTCTTCTCCATCCATGTCAGCCTCAGGTTTGTCGATCACCTCATCTTGATGATAAGCTTGTCCTGTAGCATGGGTCTTCTTTGGTCGGAGTTCGGCATCACGACTTCCCAGACCTCCACTACTCCACATCAACCTGAGGGCTGTCAGGACATCGTCAACCTTGTAGGAACTGGCCTTTCCACGAATGTTGGCTGTATCGGAGGGCGACATCCTCATGAAGACATTCAGAAGGAACCACCCGTACACCTCAGGTGGCATCTTTGCACTTGAGTTTGTCTCTGCAATCGCTCGCTCCATCCGACGCATAAGTGTCTTGAACCTTGTCTCGTAATCATTGATCTCCTCACCATCCCGTCGGCAAGCTTCTTTGCGCAGGAAAAACTCTGTAAATGTATCACCCAAAATGTCCACTTTTGCACGACCCCTTGTGTCTTCCAAAAAGGTCAACAAATAATGCCATCCCTCAGCCTTTTTCAACTGCTCTCTTTTGACTTCACCCAGCGTTTCAAATGCCTTGCCCACCAAATTGGCTGCCAATCGAGGTCCTAGATATGGCAGATCTTCTGTCTTGCAGGCGTCTGCCCGTAACTCCACTCGGATCTTGTAGTCCTCGTAGGTACTCCAATTTCCGTCCCACCACGGAAACTTTGGATCGATCATCCCCTCATATTCCTCTGGAATATTCATTGAGCCCACTCCCCAAACAATGTTGTCGCCAACAACCAATGTACAATGCTAAATGTCGCTCCCTGCAACACCAATGCACAACAGTTCAATGTCAGCTTCAACAATGTAAAACTCAACACCACAAGCCCCTCGGAGCGAGAGGCTCCGCTACCATGTAAATTCGGTAGGGAGTCTCAAGTCCAACACAACAACTGGTCACCTTTCTCACACAACCAAATCCGAGCACAAACGTTGGTTTTCCGACAATGCTATGGCGGCAAGGTCGATGGAACGTCAGGCTATACAATCTAAGATCAGGGCACGTCTCGGGCCCAAACACCATGGATACGCTTTCGGTCAACATACACATTCAAATTCACAGCCTCCAACCTAGAAGCGATGTGACCAAAGAGAAGTTCCATGTTCGCCCACAAGTCTCCAGGCCGTGGCTGCGCTCGAGCAGATGTCTCCCCAAACGGCGACCGCCTTTGTAGAGAACGTGGCTCAGATGTTGGGGCTCAAGGCATCGACCAAACACCGAGAAGGATCGAGACTCATCCAGACGGGGGGCAGCAGCTCCTATTTCTTGCGAGTGGTGCTCGGGTTCAGGGTTTGAAGCGGACTTATGGTACCTGAACGAAGAGAGTCCTGAACCCTGTGGGAAATCCAAGAGGTCGTTGACCCCCAAGACCAAGACCTCAGCTGTTTCATTGCTTTTCTCCCGTCCAACTCAAACACAATTCAACCGGTACTGGCCCAAGCTTGGGTTGACATGGGTCAATCCCAGCGATCGATTGCTTTTGTGTCTCCTCGAAGCTTCCGCTCCTTGCTCCGCCCTGCTTCGCCTCCGCTTCGCCTCCGCTTCGCCTCGCGTCTCCGCTCCGCTTCGCCGCCGCCTTCGAGTGACGTCCTTCGCCGGCGCGGCAGGTGGATCTGGCCGAGGCGGTGACCGAGCAGCTGCAGGACGCCGAGCTGCAGGAGTGGAAGGACCTGCCGTCGGCCGAGCAGAGCTTTGGCTCGGCCCCGCGGACCGAAGAGAGCAGGGCGAAGTGAGTTGGGTGGGTGGAGGGACCGGTGTTCTGGCAGGACCCCAGAAAGTGCGGCCGGCCAAGAATGCCCCAACAAGAGATGCTGGGGAACTTCAGCTCGAAAAAGCCTTTTCAAGAACCAAGTTCTGAACATTGGACCCCTCAAAAGATCCACCAGGCTCCCCCTCAAGCGCTCTCAGCGTGCCCGGTCAACCGAAACCGGTCCGGTCCACTGAGGTCCTGAGCCGCAGCGATCTTCCCAACGACGCCCGGGTCCGAGCGCTGGCCGGCCGGGCTCGGTGCCTCTTGAGGCCGGACAAGCGGGGCCTCGGTCGGGGCGGTGTCACCGTGGGGGAGGTCGGTGTGGCAGGTTCTTTTTTTGGTGGGTGGGTAATACCAAGTCCCAAGAATGGAAGGGCTGAGGGAGCGTTTGGTTTTGGACCTTTAGATAGAAACTATATAGATAGAAACTTGATGAAACTATATAGCGTATATATGCGTATATAGTCAATAGAAACCAGTTCCAATAGACAATGTATTGAATGGGGCTTCTCTTTGTCTATTCATTTGGGACTCCCTAAACGTTCTTGGTCTCGTGCCGAGGCGAAGGGAACCCACGGCTGCGCAGCAGTCGAAGGTGATGTTGGAAGAGCTGCAAGCAGCTGGCCACGGAGGTGTTCCTGAGGCGGCGGGTCGTTGGCAACTCCTCGCGGGGTATGGTCTTAGGAGTTGCAGAATTGAAGAGGATCAATGAGAATTGTGAAGGAGCAGGCAGCTGCTGGCTTTGGGATTGCAGAGGTGAAATGGCCGGTTCTCCGTTTCTTTTCGCAAGGTCTAGTGGAAAAGACGTTTGGGACAACCCTTGTTTGAAGTGGAGACCATCCAAAGACCACCAAAAACGACATTGGTTGTTGTGACGTTACGTTTGTGGCTTGATCCAAGGATGCCACTGTCGACTGGTGTCATTAAGGGAAGACTGGCAGGTGAAGCAAGCCGTGGCTATGCTGTGGATTGACCAGAAGCAGCAGGAGCTAGGCGGGTTGGGGTAAGTAAATCTCAACTCAGATGATGCCCACCCACTTCGATTGATGCCTTCTGCTAGCGCACTGCTGACCTCAGGTCCTGACTTGAAAGCACTTGGGTGGGAAAAGAACCGTTTCTTCCCCCTCCGATGCCTGGAGTCCAGTCGCCGGAACCAGGCGAGACCAATCTGCAGACTCTCAAGGCCGTCTTGGCTGGACGAGACTTGCGAACGGGTCGTGGTCGTGGTCGGGTCGCAGCACGGACGGTTCCGGGCTCTTGGATACTTTTTAGATGCTTTTGCGTGGCAGCTGGGCTCTGCCTTGTGGGACTACAGAGTTCAGTTACACACACACAGATATATATATAATATAATATATATATATATGGCTCAAGCCATTTCTGCTCAAGCTGGGCCAGCCACCACCTCACGGACATCCTCGACGGCACTGGCCCACGCTCTTACTACGCGTCTCCTTCCACCTCTCTTTTGAGTCTGTCGAAGGCAACACTCATGCAGTGGGGACGCACCTACCAGACCTGCAATGGCGGCAGCTGTCGAAATTGGATTTGGGAGGATAAGATCCAGGCTGGCTTCACATGCAGGTTCTGTGGCACTCCCTGGAAGACACCTAGTCAAGGGTATGCCTCCAAGACCCAGCATGGCAAGCACATGACCAGATGGAATGCCTTCAAAGCTCGCTCGCCCACACCACCACCAGGTCTGGGCAAGCCCAAGCTGGGTAAACAAGGGAAGTTCCAACAGGCTGCATCAGACATTCTGGCACCAGCCTGGGAAGGACTCGACGAGACCTTGAAGAACAAGCTCATTGAGGTTGGCATCAACCCAACTCCTAAGCAGGTTGAACCAGACCTCACTGATGTCCTCAAGGAGAACCTGGCCAACCTACCAGCTCCAGTGAAGGAATTGGTGGAGAACATCACCAAGCCACAACCGCCAACGGAGAAAGACATGGCGGTACAGCTGAAGCAACAGGTCACCAACCTCCGGGACATCTCGCATCGAAAGCAAGTTCTCCAACAGAAGATTGACAGCACCAAGAAACACTACCAAGAACTGTTGGAGGAAATGAAACAACTCCAACAAAAGCTTGAGCAGGCCTCCCTCAATGCCACAAGTGCAGCTTACATGTCCAAGGTCAAGGAGGAGCACCCGCCTGGCAGTTATGTCCTGGACACCGAGATGAAAGACTCGGTTCCGGATGCTGTAGCAGGTTTCATCACCACTTTGGGTGTCTCTCTCACGCCTGAGCAAAAAGAGCAGTTGCAGCTGATGCTCAAACGGCCGCAGTCAGCAGTTGAGATCTCAGACGAAGAAGCCAAACGTCGTCGCACTTTGCCCAGTGACGCTTCGTGTGGGTAACACTGCAAGCCGTGGCCATGTGGACATAACTCAGCTCACTGACAGGGGACACACACCATGTTCTGATGGACATGATTGGGGGACTTCGCAAGATGTTTGCAGGGGTATGCAATCTTCTCTTGTGACCACGTTACACTCAGGCTCAAGATTGGGCCGGACTTTTGACGCGGCGGGGTATGGGCCGCAACGTTCCACTCTCAAAGTGAGAGGGGGAGCACGCATCATACGTACTGAAGCATCCCTGAGCCAAGAGAACAACGAGGCGCCGAGCTCTTCTACCACGGAGCAGCTTCGTGAGAAGACTGCTATTTTCGGGACCTCGACTGTTCTCGCTTTGGCTCGAGTCTTGAACATGGACATTGACGACTCCCTGCTCTCCAATGAGCAGAAGGCTCTTTGCGAACTCTGCAGAAGAGACCTCACAAGGTCCTGCACTGCATACGCACAACATGCCACAGTTCATCAAGGGCAGCAACTTTTGGTAGACCTCAAGAGGATGCAGAATCTAGTTCATCGTCACCTCAGTGTACCAGGTGAGGTGGAAACCGTTGCTGCCAACATCTATGTCATCTCCCAAGGCCTCGCCAGCATCCTCAAGAACAACAAGAACCTATGCTATGGAAATGCGCCTTGGAGATGTTGGTGCTGGGCAGGTGCCTTTGCTGAAGATGCCAACCAAGCGTGGGGCCACACCCACACTGCAGTCAGGCAATACCTCTCGGATGGAGAACCTCAGCTCCTCACAGGGCTTCAGGACATGCAAAACATCTGGTCCTTGTTCACGCAAGATGAACAGGCCGATGCGGCTGATTTCGTCCACTACTTATGGAGCCACTCGGGCACGACTTTCTTTGGAGGCAGATTCTTTCATCGGAATCTTCGAGGCCATGTGGAAGAGCGAGAACAATTCCCATTGAATCTGATGTGTCCGGACGGAAATGCACCCATCTCTCTGGACTCCTTGGTCAATCAATGGGCTCATGAAGGAGGGGGGCAATACTTGTACGGCTCACCTGGTGGATTGGTCCTGCACATCCAGCGATCCGCTCTCTTTGACTGCGTTTGGACCAAACATCACAGGGAGATTGAGACTTCAACCAGAATCAGTTTCCCCTTTTCGGAGGATGGTCAACATGTTCATCTTGCATCCTACAAAGTGATTGGGATGGTCTTGCACCAAGGGGTGGATCATCAAACAGGCCACTACCAAAGTATCCTCTCTGTGGACAACATCCACTGGCTTGCAGACGATGAAGCCTACCCTCAGGCCATTCCACATCTTTCCACCCAGCAAAGGAAAGAGATCACCCAAATCTGGCTTGCTTTGATTCCTGACGATGAAATGGTTCCGGACACGGCGGTGGAGATCGAAGCCATCATGCCAAAGAAGCCCAGACAATCCCAGGAGAACCTGCACATCATCTATAGCAATGTGACCTCCTTTGGCCGTAAAGTTCAGGATTGGCTCTGGCACCAAGGAGATAGCATTATGCTCTTCCAAGAGACACACTTGTCTCAGAAGGCCCTTGACGACGCCATGCAGTACCTCACCATTCGTGGCTGGAAGTGCCATGGAGTTCCGGCTGAACCCACCGGCCAAGGAGGCAACACCGGTGGCTTCCTCACGGTACACTCGGCCAGGCACATGATCCATCATGTCCACACGTACACTAAACAAGGCAACGGATGGACAGCGCTTCGCATGGAACGGCAAGGGGGTGACCTCTTTCTCATCCAAATCTACCTCAAGACTGGAGAGACCTTTCAATCACCTCTAAATGCCGACCTCTTGGGACAGCTGCTTCAATTTTTGGGCCACCTCAAATCCCCTTTCATGATTGGAGGAGACTGGCAGAACAGTCCTGAAGACCTCGCGGCTACAATCCCCAGCAAGTTCAGAGCACAGATCTTGGCCAAAGACGAAGCCACCACACTCCAAGGAAGCCACTTGGACTTCATCCTGCCATCTATGGAGCTCTCCAACTGCAACGCAATTGGGAAGTCCCTTGGAAGCCACATTGTGCTCTGGATGTCAAGTTTCAATGTGAGTGGGCGGCTTTGCCAGTGCAGCAGTTGCAAAGATTCCCACCCATAGCCAGAACTCCTTCTCCACCGGCCAATTCGATCACCTTTGAGGAATCTGATGGACCCTTCGAAATGCTGGGGGAAATCATCACTGGCTTGGGATCGGACCTAGCGCGTTGGGCCACACGCACTGAGTCACTCAGCTACTTCACAGACCCACCACGGGCAGAGGATCTTGCATCTCATATCAGCAAACGCCGCTGATGGATGCCAACAGGCCCCGCGTGTGGAAGAAGGGCAGCCCGGCTTTCTGGGAGAAGATGAGTGTGAGATTGAACGTTCTCACCCATGGACACCACCCTCGGGTTCTGCAAGATCTCAAAGACATGATTGCCTTGATCCCACAACATGCCTCACAAGAACTGGATCAGGCTGGGTTTTGTGACCAACTCTGGCATTGGCTCACTCATCCAACCCAGGACATTGTCAACTTGAGGCAACACATCCAACAGGAACAGCATGCTGCGCAACAGCAGCTCCTCAGCTCCACCAATCATGAATACAGGGAATGGCTGGAAAAAGCTCACGACAAAGGTTTGAGGGGCCTCTTTCGTAGCTTGAGGCAGAAAGATCATGCCTGGCAGAGGCCTTTCCAGAACATGCCGCCCACCCAAAGGCTTGAGGCAAGAGAGCTTCAATGGGGAGAACTATGGCGTCCAACTGAAGGGCCCACACACATTCGTGGCCTCCAAGAACTCAGACGCCTTGCTCAGGCACAAGCTGCCGCCTTCAAGCCGCTTGATACCGTCATCTTGCAGAAGCTGATGAGGAAACTCCCCAACAAAGCAGCTGGCCCTGATGGAGTCTCCTATGACTTCCTTCGTCACCTTCCTTTTCCTGCAGTGGAATGACTGGCGCAGCTTCTCACTGAGATGGAAAGAACTGCCCTGCTACCGACTCAACTTCGGTACACCAACATCGTGCTGATTCCAAACAATGAAAAGATCGAGAGACCCATTGCTCTCACCTCCTGCCTTTACAGGCTATGGAACAGGTACCGGAAGTTTGAGCTTCAGCGCTGGTAGTTGGGTCTGGACAAGGACATGCCATGGGATCAAGCCAGACCACATCGAGATTGCCTGTCCATTGCTGTTGGCAGAATGCTGAGAGCTGAGATTGGCAAGCGCCAGGGTGTCTTCACGGTCTCCTGCCTAGCAGACCTCACTTGCTTCTACGACACCGTCACCTTGGACCACATCATTGAGCCGGCCATGGACTTGCACTACCCTCCACTTCACCTCAAGCTGGCACTCGATCTCTATACCGGGCCACGGCTTCTTCAAGCTGAAGGCATCTCGGGTCAGCCCAAGCACTATCAGAAGGGCATCCTCCAGGGCTGCCCTCAGGCTCCCGCAATTGCCAAGTTGGTGCTTTACAAGCCTCTTCGAGCTCTGGTTCAGGATCACCCTGCCGTTCAACTTCAGACATGGGTGGATGACGTCTCCTTTGACATCAAAGGCACTGATGCCTCTTATGTGGCTCGGGAAGCTGTCATGGCATTCAGATCTCTCAAAAGACATGTGGAGGCAGCTGGCTTGAAGATCAACTCCGACAAGACCGGATTTATCTCGAGCAGCAAAGAGGTTGCCAAAGCCCTCGATGAGAATCTGCAAGACTCTGATCCCAAGCACTACAACGTCCTCAGGGACTTGGGCATCGACGCCACGAACTCCCGACGCAGGAGGGTCACGCAGATCAAGAAGCGCTTCATCAAAGGTCGTGGCCGAGCTGGCATCACGCATCGGTTGAAGTTGAACCCACGCATCAAATATCGACTTCATCGAGGAGCTGTCCATCCGGTGATGACCTGGGGCTCACAGGCCAACGGGCTGGCTCCACAACGTCGACAACAGACTCGCGTGATGGCGGCCAGAGGACTACGCCTCCAAAAGTCTGGATCTGTTGATGTGGTCTTCGACATGAACCCCAACAAGGTTGACCCGGGGGACTCGATCATACTCCAACATGTCCACACAGTGTGGAAGGCCTACCATGCCTTTGATGAGAGTGCTCAACACCTCTTCTGGGTCAGCTGGTCGTCGGCACTAGACCTTCTCCTCAAAGCCAAATATCGTTGGCAAGTGGTCACCGGGCCCATGCAGGCCTTGCAGGCGTATTTGCTGGACTACGACTTTGACATCTCATCTGGCAAGGTCTGGAAACGCACCGGGTATGGAGGAATTCCTGATTGTGAGCTTCAGCTTGAAGCCACTTGGCCAACCTTGCATCACAAGATGCTGGAGGAATCCTGCTGGCAACGACTCCTGCGTTTAACCCGCTACACGGGCTGCCACGATTTGGAAAGGCCATTAGATTGGACAGTCAGCCGCACCATGGAGAAGATGTGCACGGACCAGCAGTGCACTGCCTTGAGAGTTCCATCAGGGAACTCTCCATGGCCAAGAAGGTTCATGTCCTGTGTGTGGTGATGATCTCACTTTCATTCACCTCCTGTGGCAATGCAGCTTCTGGAAAGGACGGGCCAAGGATTTGCTGGCGCAATGGCATGAGAGACTCCAAGCAGGCGCCGAACCTGAACTTTGGAATCGGGGCATGACACAGAGTCTCTTCTACATCCCTGATGGGGGCATGGCCACGTTCAATGGAGAGGGCCTCTGGGCGAACTTGGAGACTCTGCGTGTGGCTGCCGGGCAGGCTTTCTCTGTTGCCATTGCCCCAACCTGCAAGGACCCTCGCCACAAGCGCTTCGTGTTTGCCATTTTGCATTCACAATGTCCACACCAAGCAAAGAGAAGCTTCCATGACGGGCATCTGTCCGGGCAAGGCCACCAGGCAACGAGCCTTCTTTTATGCCCTCAAGCACCTCTCCTTGCACATCAATGACAAGGTCCAAGTTCCGGTCTTCCAGCGCTCCACTTGGAAAATCTGGTCATGGATGGTGGCCTTTGAACAGTTCCCAGACCTGTGTCAAGGTCTAGAACAGGAAGATTATGATCAAGTGAGGCTGCTTCTGCTGAGCGGAACCGAACTTGACAGCAACCACAACCGCAAGATGTTTCAGAAGGACACACAGGCCAAGGCCACTCAGGCCGCCCTCCTGGCCAAACCGGAAGACATCCTGGACTTGCAACGGCATGTGGACGAAGACGCTCGAGATGTCCTCTTTGTGGCAGCCAATCGAATGGACACTCTACTTCGTGACAAATCGCACTTCTTGCACGCCAAGAGCAAGCAAGAGAACCCGGCAAAGATCCCGCTCATTCAGCAGAAGCGAGACCTACTGGTCAAGTTCACGGAAGAACCCAACGGACTGGGCCATCGGTGGCAGGCCTTCAGGTCTGGAGTCCAGTGCTCCCTTTGCGGGACTCGCTTCCACACAAAGTCTCTCCTGAAAGAGATTCAAGAGGGCCTCAGTGCACCCTGCTCACAGGCCATTTTGGCCAAGGAGCCCAAGAAGACACGGTTCGAGATCATACATGACATCCTGGACATGCAACAGGCCCCAACTCCAGGGCAGCATCACTTTCGGCTTGACAAAGCCTACCTTCGTTGCCAAGTTTGTCGGTGCTACATTTTGGCCAGAGCTGGGGAGGACCAGTTCAACCAATTCCTAGGCTCCTACTGTCATCATGGGCCTTTGGACCCTGAGGCTTGGATGGGACATCCAACTCATCAGATGTGGCGCACCGGCAATCAAGCCGAATGCCAAAGCTGCAAGTCGAAAACGCGGCTGGTGGGAGAACGCTTTGAGGTCACGGTCAAGCTCAGGCAGCGGTGCACCAAGCCCGGATCACAAGATCTGAGGAAGATGTTTAGCTGACTCGCCAGCACTGGAAAAGAGACGGACAAAAAAAAAAAGAAATATATATATATATATATTTGTCCACACGACGTCTATGTCTATTTGGATGCAACTCCCCACATCTGCCCACTCATATCACTTCTTCCAACCTAGATCAAGGCACCTCGGCCCTCCCTCACTTGCTTCGCCGGCTTCCCGTGGTCGCACCTTGCCCAGGCTGCCTGGGAGGCCAATCCCACCGATTTCGCCGCGGTCCAGGCTGGTGAGCAGGAAAAGACCGGGAACGCAGCGAACGCAGGGCTGGACCAAGCAAAAGAAAACCATGTCTTTCCGGTCTTTCCGGGGAATGAAAGAGACCCTTCTGAGCGATAGATGAGCACTTAGGTCAGGATGAAGCTTTGGGCACCCGCAAGGGGGTTGGTCCCACCTTTTTTCAGAAGAGTTGAAAAACCCTTTGGACCGATACACGACAGGTTTTTTGGTGAAAGCCTGCGACCCGGCAGGCCTACGCTGTATCCATCTTTTGGGCGCATGGGGAGGCCATGACCGTGGGAGAAAGCTGATATGTGGCTGGGGCAGTGTTGGGAGCATTTTCAGATCCTGAGCAGCCTTCTGACTGGGCTGTTTATGGAAGTTCCTGCATGTTAGGACCATTGGGTCAAGTCATAAGCGCAAATGGCCGCTGGTTTGGATAACTTATCCCCTGAAGACTTCCCATTCACTGGTGAGAGGGCGGCTGTTTACAGGCAGGGCACGTCACCCGCGTGAGGCCGAGGCCTTCGAAGCGGGGCTCCAGCTCCTGCGTCGGAAGCGCTCCGACGAGGCGCGCGCGGCGGAAGGGAAGAAAGCGCGGCTTTGGGTGCGGGGAAAGAAAGAGACCGGGAAAGGAAAGGAAACCGGGATGGATGGTTTTGATAGCTGGATTGGGTGCCCGTGCTGAGATGTGCTTGAGCTTTGCTTCCTCCACTTAGGAAGTTCAAAGAAACAACTGGGAAACCCCACTCTTACTTGTTCAGTGGCTGTCTTGAGACACACTGTACGCGCTTTCCGACGTTGCTCCCGGTGGTTGCGGGGTCGGGTAGCAGCTCCGGTTCCGCTGGGCGGTCCTTGAGGCGAGGCAGCTGGTGCTGTCTTTGGTGGAGGCCTTGGGGCCTTCGCACCCGCGCAGCGCGCCCGCCCGAAGGCCCGGTGATCGTCCGGTGGGCGGGATCTGAGGTTATGCATACCAGACCAGTTGGCCTTGAAAACCTCAAAGCTCCACCGGCATGCTGTGTAGAAACACACAGCCACTGTGGTTGTGTGGATTTGCTTGGCTACCTGGTTGGCTCCTCTGATTGGCTCAAGGCTTTTTGCTGAAATCGCCATGCCAGTGGTGTGCAGTTGAAGTCCCATGCAGTGTCTTGCCTTGGACTATTTCGCGCTGATCGAAGAGGAGGGTCAGCGCGATGCAGTGGAGGACTTACCAGTAAAGCAGGTGAACTGGCATTGGGAGGCACCTCCCTTGGCTGCTGCATTGATGCAGATCCATTGCCCTGTGCCAACCAGTTCACCCTGCGAAACCTTCAACTTGGTGCGGTTCGCCGACGAAGCAATTCCAGTCTTTCCAGAAGCACAGGCGGTCACAAGTTAGCACAAGCGGTCAGCGGTACAAGCGATGGGTGACCCCCTGGTTGTGCGAGTTCTGTTTCAACTACTGTATTTTTGTATTTCCGGATTATTAAACATTCAACTCAACCAGTTGAAAGTTCAATCTACACTCAACCGGCTGAAGGTATCGGAACTCTCTCGTTTTTTCATGCTAACTCTGCCAGGTGGAAGACTTTGACTACCTCGGAGCACCCTCGCTGCTGCCAGCCGTGGAAGACTCCTGGACGAGAGATGCGTTGGTCTCGCTGCTGCCAGAGGCCGAGGCCTTGGACTCCCAAAGCCGCCAGTGGCTCGCGGAGTATGCAGCTTATCGTGAGACGCCAGAAGTGTCTGTGGCGATGAAGCAGATCAATCAAGACTGTGAGTGGATGCACCATATGGCTGGCTCCTCCAACTTCCTGAGCAAGGAGGATGCTAGTATCATCCCAAATCCACAGCTCCAAACCAAAGACCCGCCAGACTGCACTGAAGTCGGTGCAAGGCCGGCAGCGCAGGAGACTGAAGCATCTCACCCAACTGAAGTGGAGACTCGCTACTCCAGAGTTTGGCAGCCCAAAGGACGGGTTGAACAGGGAAACCATTGGAACACCTCGCGTCGCGTGCATGTTCATGCCTTGAATTTTTCCAGGTTAAACAAGGTGTTCAGATGTGTTAACGTTCTAATTTCTGTTAAATTCACATATCCCTTGTACATCCTTTTTTTGCGAAACCATGAGCCGCCCATTCCGAGCCTGAGTCGGAGGGGGGAACGTCGAGGAAGATGGCCCAGGAAGAAGTCGCATGGCATGGGTTTATGAGAATAAGATAGAATACAAAGTCAGAGTCCCTTTTTTTTGGGTCCCTGAGAAGAACCGCATTTGGACACCGACCCATTCCGCGAGGACAAGCCAAGGTGCGTTCCTTGGACCTGACCCGGCTCGGCGTCGAGGCCTTGCCGTCGATCTGGAGCTTCGAAGCGAGCGGACGGACGGCGCTGGACTTCTCCGGCCCAGCGGACGGCGTTGGGAGCGGCGCACGCTTCGTGCGGGACGGGCACCTGCAGCTGCTTGGCCGGACTCAATTGTGCCTATGTGATGAGCCATGATCCAAGCTGATTGGTCTGAAATGGGACATGGGATTCTGATGGATTCTGCTTAGCTTGTCCTCCCGACAGTTTTGAGCTAGTTAGTCATCGTGACTTTCCTATCCACAGGCAACCCTCAGCAAATTCATTTTGATTGTCTCCGAATTTTGACTGTCTCCGAATCGCCCAAAGGGCACTGCAACACGACGCTCAGACGTGTTGCCCCGCTCGATGAGGTTTGAGTGCTCTTCCACCATTCTCGAGGTGTGGCCGAATGCAGGACAAGGCATCAGGTCTAGTAGCAGGAAATTGCATTTATGGGCTTGGATGAGTTCCAATAGGACCGGCAGCTCATAGCTAAATAGTTCATGTTTGGACAGTGTCCACACAAGCTGACAAGATGCTTGAATCATCCGAACAAACATTTTGAGATCACCTCTTGTTTGGATGCTTTTTTCCAACCCATGCTTGTGGGGAGCTCTTCTTCGCCAACAGCCGCGTACACAGGCGGGCTGGTCGGGCGCCTGGACGTTGGCCGCTGATTCCGCGGGGCCCGCAGAGCTCCCGCTGCCGCAGCTCGAACCGCTGAAGCTGCCAGAGGACTTGGAGGCGCCAAACGAGCCCAGTGCAACGATGGCTTCACCAAGGGTCCGAGGGGTGCGTTTTCAGTGGGTTTTGCGGACAGGGTCCAAAACCGGACCCAACGAAACCGGGGGCGGAGGAAGCCTTTCGAAGTGGTGTCGGTGAACCGAATGACCGAATGACCGCGAAGCTGCCGGTTTCAGGGCCTCTTCCAGAAGGACGCGAAGCTGCGCTTTGTTGAGGCCGTGAGCACGCCATGACCTTCTCTTTGCTTCGCAGTGATCTCCAATTTCTCAGATCAGAAAAGATCAGAAGACTGACTATCATTGGGTGCCCTTTTGGAAGCGTGTCTTCAGCTGCGCCTGCGGCACTCCTGCTCGAGTCGTTTTCTTAGCACGGGTGTTGCTTTCTTTCTCAACATATCAGGGAAGAGTGAAGGAAGGTTCTTCTTATTCTTCCCATCCCTCATCATCATCTTCTTCTTCTTCCTCTTCTTCTTCTGTCTCTCATTCTCATCCCTTTCCCATCCAATCTCCACCGGGACGCCTCGAGGCTCTCGAGGCAGCACCCTTGGGCGAGGTGCGCGAGGGACGGACGCACGGGCGACCTATGGCATCGGAGGAGCGCAGCCAGTGTCCAGAGTGGAGGCATGACTGGATCGAGCGCCTTGAAAGGTTAAACAAAGAGTTTTGGCACAGCTTTGGTCGATTCCTCATGTTTGGGGATTCCTGGGAGATCCTTTGTTTGGGGACCATGGTGTTTGGGGTTCCGACCGATTGGATGGGGTGACTGAGCTTGTCTGTGGCCTCCAAGGTATAGCAGCAAGAGTCCACCGACGTGGCAGACGGATGAGACGAGGTGGGAGCGCAGGACGATCTCAGTGGCTTTTCAGGAGACGAAAACGCACCCGACCGGGGTCGTTGAGCACAGCATGGCGCAGCTAGGGGTGGCCAAATTGGGGCCGGAGTTGTGGGATGTTCAATTCAACGCATGTCGAAGATCTTCGACGGTTTTGAGGTGAGGCGTCCCCTCTTGCACTTGTCAGACTCTTGGCATTCTCTGCAGGAGCCGGGCTTGGAGGCTCATGCGTGGCTGCTTTCGGTGGCCTGGCGGCCAAAAAGCTGCCTTTGGTAATTTTAGTCCAGAAATCATCTCAAGAAGTCAACGATTCATTCACGACGGGAGACAGAACGGTGCGACCCAAAAGCAGTAAATTGGGCCGCCTGAGTAGAGAACCTACTCCCTCCCGTCGGTCTTTTTCCTCTTCGTCTCCTCCGCCTCCCGAGGCGCCGCAGCAAGCCGCGGCGAACACGAGCGCCGCTCCGGTCGTGGAGGATGCTGGCACGGCGACGGCTGGCGGCGTGGGCGAAGTCTTTCGATACCAGGCCTCGGCGCAGGAGCTGGGAGCTCAGGGTGCTGAGTAAAGATGAGTAAAGACGTGTAAAGACCATCCATTAAAGACCCAAAGAGCCAAAAGAGATGCATGCTGCATGCCTCACAACAAGGACTGTTTGTTCTTCAACTAGCTCTACTAAGTACCGACTCTACTACTTTGGGCACTTCATCAATCCTAGTTGCAGTGAGTGAAGTTGGGTGCACCCCTGGTGGCCTTTAAGTTGTTGAGAGACAATGACATGTCTTTCACGGTCTTTTCCAATCGAGTAGATTCTTGATCGATCATCGAGCCCCAAAAAGAGGGCGTTTGCTAGAAAAAGGCGCCCAACAAAGGCCCCGCCCAATGGCCCGCAGTTGAACAGGAGAAGAGGTTGGCGCAGCAGTTGAACAGTGGCACCTCATTGGCCTGGCTGGCCTACAGGGAGAAGATCCAGTGCCTGGAGAAGGTTTCCTCAGGCGGGTTCGAGGACAGATCGGGTGGTGAGTGGCGAGTGGTGGTTGTACGAAGGTCTTAACACTTGCATGGTCTTAGGGGGAAAGACACCGACTTGCTCACTTCAGGATTCACGTGGATTCACGTATTTCATTCGGAAAGAATGGACTGAAGGACAGCTGAGGCCATGGCAGCACCTTCGCATCCAGAAGTGTTTCACTTCGATCCTTCGACCCGCCGGAACCGGACCAGCGGGGATCAGCGGGACGAAAACAGGCAACTTGAAGGAAGACGTCCCAGACTTGGAAGAGTTGGACGACTTGCTCAAGACCCATGAAGCCAGACTGAAGGAGCTCCCCGAGGTGGGGCTGGGAGCGGAGACATCGCAACGGGGACCACGAGGTGGTGGGAAGTGTGAGACGGGTTGGGCTCTACTGAGAGTCGTTATCGTTTGGTGGAGGAAGTCTCTCCTTGCTTTTGAAGAACCGAGAGATTGGGCGACTTCGGCACCCTGCGGATTCTTCTCTTCATGAGTGGTCAATTCTTCAATTCTTGGCCATTTCCAAGATTTCCATCTGTGTGTGGATCGAAGCATTGGGGATCTGCGTTTTGTTGGATAGGACTCGATGAGTTGGCCGCATGCCAGGATGATTCCGAGAGCAAGACCTTGGATGTGAGCCTTTATCGCTTGCTCTACAACTTGCGTGCCCGAAACCTAGAGCAGAACCAACACTGTTAGAACTCATGCCTGGGATTGAAGCTGGCCTTTGGCATAAATCCTTAGTCGAAGCACACAGCAGGGAATGAGCGGCTTGTTCGGCTAAGTGGGGGCGCTGGCGGGGGCTCCACGTTCTGGCGCCAAGTTAAGACTGACCAAAGTCAGGTCCGACACATTTCGTCGCCCAAAAGTCAGTCCGCTGTGTTGGGAACATCCAAAGCAACACGACGAACCTCCCGTGCCCGGTGTCGCGCAACCGCTCAGACCTCCGTCGCGCAACGCGGGCCAGCCCCGCGCGACCAGGTGATGCTCTCGCTCCGCGGCGATTTGCTTCGAGAGGGCTTG